GGGTTTGGGGTGGTGCCGCCCCCCGGGGGGGGGGGGAGATTTCTCGCTTTCTGTCTCTCTGTCTTTCTGGTGAGCGCACGTGCCCTGTAGCAAAAACCTCTCCCCCCGCCCCCCAAAAAAAAATAAACACCAGGTGCATGTGTGTGCATACCCAAATTCCCAAGAGGAGAAAGGAGGAGAAGGGATTGTGGCATGGTCATCTGTCCTAGGAGGTGATTTTTCACTTTCTCTCTTTCTCTGACTCTCTTTTTCTCTCTCTGGTGAGTACTCGTGCCCTTTAGCAAAAACAAACAAATGAAAAGAACACATATTGCTATATTACAAATTTGTGAGGGTTTTTTTTAGAGAGTTTTCTTTCTTTCTTTTTTTTTTTTTGTTATAGGCCACATGTGCTGACTAGAGAGACAGTGACAGAGAGACAGAAAGTGAGAAATCACCCCCCAGAGAAGATATGGCCATGCCACAGTCCTTTGTTCATTCTCTTCTTGGGATTTTTAGGCATGCACACATGCTCAGCGTGAGTTTTAAGCTGCCAAGTCTGGAACTCAAACCATGGTTACTACATGGGAGTCTAGTGATGTAACCATTATGCCATCTGCTGGTTCCCACAAATTTGAGGGTTATTTTTTTCTTTTCTTTTAATTTATTTTTTACATTAATTCACTATACATCATTACAGCATACAAAATGAAATTTCCATCCAGAATACACTGTATATTGGCTCAATCAAGCACATCAACATACGTGTTATCAACAAATAATTTTCCTTTTCTTATGTCCTATATATTTTGCTTTTTTTTCTTTTTTGCCATTCTTGATTCCCTATCACAAATTTGAGTTTTTAAAAATACTTGTTAACTGTGATTCTGCAGGATTTTATTTTATACTTTAAAAATATAATTCTGTGAAAGTTTTGCTAGACTGTCAAAGGGTTCTTGACAGAAAGAATAAATAAATACCTCATACTAGAGAAGTCTAATAGTACGTGTGGAAGTATACAGAATCTTTAAGGTAAGGCCTGTCTTGAAAGTCCAGGCTGTAAGGTTCCTGTAAGTTTGTACCCTGGTTTCTTCCTTCATGGAAATCATAGTCTAAGTCATAAGCACAACTAATTACAGGTTAAGGCCCTTTGTGATTGGTGCAGGATTCATTATGACTAGGGCAGGATCTTCCCAGGGGGAGACGATAACCCTCCAGCTCTCTTGGTCAAGAGTTTTAGAAAATAGGTTGTGTTCAGGTAGGTAGGTATGACAGGTGGAGGCTGGAAGGACATTCCGGGCAGATGGAACCATTTGCTTTGGTTACCTCTGTCTGTGAAGTAAAATTTCATGATAGGCAGAGCATGTCATGGAAAGGAAAAGACTTGGGGCACCAGAAGCTTTAGAAATTAATAGTATGTCTGCACCCTGTGACCTCGGGCAGGCTGTATAACCTCCCTGAGCCTCAGTCTCCTCCTCAGTGAAATTAGGAAAGTAATACAGTTTGTATAGAGTGTGTGTGAAGATCAAATGGGGTGGTGATTGTTAAGACCTTCTGCTAGTTGATGATTATTCCAGGACTGGGAATTAATAGATCAGATGGGATCTTTCTAGTTATGTGGCAGAAGGAACAACCCATGGGAAAGCCTTGGAACCTCATGTATCTCAAAAATTCTGGGATAGTTCTCCAGTTTCAGGCTCTGTGTTGCTACCAGGTCAAGCAACCATCATCTTTTTCCAGGTTTGGTCGCAGGCGTGTGATCATCAGGAAGGGGCAGAAAGGCAACAGCTTTTACTTCATCTACCTGGGCACAGTCGCAGTGACTGAGGATGAGGATGGCAGCAGTGCCTTCCTGGACCCCCACCCGACATTGCTGCACAAGGGTGGCTGTTTTGGGGTAAGCTCAGGGGGAGGGGCCTGATTTCTGGGGTAGGGTAGGAGGTATGATGGAACTCCTGCTATAACCTCCAACCAGGTCCAGTCCTGGCTTCTACTCAGTGCAATCACTGTCCTATGTGGTTGGTCTCCAGTGCCCTTACCTGTCAGATGCTAACTGAGTTGGACCAGGTGATGTCCAAGGCCAACCTCTGCATCTTGAGATGCTGTGACTCCACATTGAAGCTACACCAGCCTCCTCTACTCTGGCCCATTCAGGCCTTTTGCTTCTTTTTTCACATACAGCAGATTAAGAGAAAAGAGAATGAATCCATAACAGGTGGATGAGCAGGAGTATGGGGCCAGGGAACTAGTAGTCTGTGGAGGAGAGATTTAGCGGGCACACAGAGGTAGGGAGAATGTGTGTAAGGCTGCAAGCAGGAATCTGGGGGTGGCCTCACCTTTGCCTCTTCCCCATCCACCCAACAGGAAATGGGCCTCCTGACTGCTTCAGTAACGAAGTCCACTGTGGTCTGTATGGAAGAAACGGAGTTCTTGGTCATTGACCGGGAGGACTTTTTTGCTAATAAGCTGGATCAGGAAATTCAAAAGGATGCTCAGCATCAGTTTGAATTTTTTAGGTAACTTCACCTTTATTCAATATCTTTTTTCCCCTTGTGTGTTTATTAGGTGTATGACTGTCCTAAGCCTGGTGGGAAACATATTAGTGGCTGTTCTCTCTGCCTAGACTGTTCTGGAATACTTACTTCCCACCCAACTTCTCTGTCTAGCAAACTCCTACTATACCTTCAGGTCTCTCTTTCCTTGTGGGATAGTAATAATAATAATAGGTCATCGGGAAAGTCATGAAGTGTTTTCCTATGCAAAAATGTGTCATGACTTTGCTGACAACCCAATAGCTAACATGTGAGAACTTGTTGGGCTGGGCAGAGTACTAAGCATTTTGTACCACTTGTCACATCTAACCACATGTTCAATCTCATGAGGTTGTTTTCCATAGCTTTCTCAGAGTATAGATGATGCAAATTTAGGCTGATGAAGTACCCAGAATACCTGATTCATAAGTTCCTGGGCTTTACCACCCTGCCTTACTTACCAACCTTACCTCACTTCCCCCCAGATTAGAAATGCCCCATTTATGTTGCTATTGCACCCTGTGTTTCTTTAAAGCACTCACCCAGGTTTTTTTTTTTTTTTTTTTTTAATTGCTGGTTTCCCCTTGTGTGTTTATTAGGTGTATGACTGTCCTAAGCCTGGTGGGAAACATATTAGTGGCTGTTCTCTCTGCCTAGACTGTTCTGGAATACTTACTTCCCACCCAACTTCTCTGTCTAGCAAACTCCTACTATACCTTCAGGTCTCTCTTTCCTTGTGGGATAGTAATAATAATAATAGGTCATCGGGAAAGTCATGAAGTGTTTTCCTATGCAAAAATGTGTCATGACTTTGCTGACAACCCAATAGCTAACATGTGAGAACTTGTTGGGCTGGGCAGAGTACTAAGCATTTTGTACCACTTGTCACATCTAACCACATGTTCAATCTCATGAGGTTGTTTTCCATAGCTTTCTCAGAGTATAGATGATGCAAATTTAGGCTGATGAAGTACCCAGAATACCTGATTCATAAGTTCCTGGGCTTTACCACCCTGCCTTACTTACCAACCTTACCTCACTTCCCCCCAGATTAGAAATGCCCCATTTATGTTGCTATTGCACCCTGTGTTTCTTTAAAGCACTCACCCAGGTTTTTTTTTTTTTTTTTTTTTAATTGCTGGAGGGAGAGTCCAGAAAAGCACAGAGAGACAGAGAAAGAGAGCATCCCTCCCCATAGGGCCTGATAATGCTGCAATCTCTTCTCTAGTTGTTCATCCTCTTGGGATTTAGCATGCATGCATACATGTCTGGCATGTTCTCAAGCTGCTGGGGCTTGAATTCATATTAAGTTGGCCATTTGGGACCTGGCTCCCTTAACTACTAAGCTATGGAGCTGGAATTCATCCAAAATTCTTGATTGTAAGTAATTGTTTTTCATTTTATATGTTTAATCAGAAGTAAGCTACATGGTGGCAGGGACCAGATTTATATTTTTCACCACTGTAATCCTCATGTTATCATGATGCCAGGCACATGCAGGTGCTGAACAAATAAATACTGAATAAATGAATAATATCATGAGCAATTATAATTATTTTATATATAATAGATAAATATAATTATATTTATAATAATAGAGATATTTATATAATTGTTTATACAATTTATACATAAATTTGCTTTATGAATTTAGCAAAACTTTATTTTTGTTTTGAGTACAGGTACTAACTACATTGCCAGTGTTAAATCCACTTTTTAAAAAAGAATTATTTAATTTTATTTATTATTGTTTTTTTAATTTGCTGTAGGGCAATAGGCTTACCAAAGACAGAGAGAGAGAAAAAGTAAGCTACAATATCTGGGACTCCAACCATGGTTGGCCATGTGAAAGTCCAGTGCCTTAACCACTATGCCACCTGCCAGCCCCATTAAATGCATTTTTGACTTATGATATTTTCCACTTACCATTGGTTTATTGGGATGTTAACCCCATTATAAGAGGAGGAACATCTGTACTTGTATGAAAGGGCTCACAAGGGTAATACAGACAAATCTCATTTAATTATTCTTTGGTTAATAGCCTTTTAAAAATGTAAAAATCCAATGGCATATTTGTGTTGTCTCTGAAAATCTAGTTGTAGGATTGCACAGTTATAGAGAAGTGCAATGGGCAGTGGGGCCTGGTCCCTGGCCAGAGCTGAGAGAGGTAGCTTCATGAAGGGGATGGAGCCTGGAAAAGGGAGGGATTTGGTCCTGAAGGCAGGGGCAATTCATTTTTTCATACTGTGGAAACTATGTCTGTGTTCCACACATTGCTTAGACATACCAGCAATGTGTCCCTAGATAGGTCATTTAATTTCTCTTAGCTTTAGCCTCCTACTCTGTATATTGAGAATGATACTTCTCTCCCAAGGTCATAAAGATCAATGAGTTGATCACGGCAAGTGTGTAGTCTGGTGCTCAACAAACAATAGGTAGCCCTGCTTTTCTTTCTGTGTCTCCCTTTACGGCACTGACCTGTTTTTCTTTGGTGCCCTGAACTGAACTCAGTGCTTTGCTGAGGCCTGAATTGCCTTGAATTAACCTGAGTTAGCTAATTCAGTCAACTTGTATCAATTGAGTTCTGGGCCCTTAACCTATTGAAGCTGAGAAAATCTAAGTCAAATTTAGCAGTTGCATATCAGGAAAGGCAAACCCGTCATTGATGGCATTTGAGGTTAGGGGAAAGAGAGGTCAGTGTGGGGTGGGCTTTCAACCACAGGGCAAAAAGGAAGATCCCAGAATTCCTCCCACTCCTCAGATCCAGTGCTGAGTATTGGAAGCCAATAGGCCACAGAGAGACAAGGACTGGAATGAACTGCTCAAACCATGAGTGACAGGATAAGGATTGCTGGACTGGGCTGGGACACAGAATAGCCAATGAGCTGAAATGAGGATCTGTCTTGAGTGAGAGGTCCTTGGAATGAGACTACCTGAGTAAGCCTCAAGGACCAGGGAGGCGATGGGGATTGGGGTGGGATGGGAGAGAGGGTTTGTGGATGGAGGAGCAGAAGTGAGAAAAGTGCAGAATCTGAATCACCTCTAGGAGTATTTGAGCATGCAGAGAGGGGAGGGTCTTCAAGAAAGGGTAGATGAAGCAAGGCGATGGCGTGATAGGAGATTATAGGTGAGGCTGAGGGATTGGGTGGATAGTGGAGAAATCTTCCGCTACAGGCATTTTCAAGAATAGGAAAACATGTTCAGTGTTCCACTCTAAGGTGTCCAAATCTTAGCATGGAAATCACTCATGTAATGGAGCATGAGGAATTCTAACATGTTGTTCCTCTCAGGAAGATGGATCTATTTGAATTGTGGTCGGATGAGAAGCTCTGGCAGCTCGTATCCCTGGGAAAAGTAGAGAAGTTTGCACATGGGCAGCTGATCTCAGAGGACTTCACAGAGTCTCCCTCCATCTTGTTTATCTGTAAGGTGAGACACCTAGGGTGGGGATGAGGTTGAAGGTGGGAAGAGTGTGCCTACTAGAATGTCCTGTGGCTAGAAAGACAAGGTTTGAACCTTGTTCTGCAAAACATACAGTTCACTTCCTCTTCTGTTTCTGTGTCCTCACCATGAAAGGCAGGTGACATACAGGAAGAGAGTTAGACAATGTCTTAGAGAGCCTAGAAGGTGAACTGTTTGTGGAGATGCCTGAAGGCCAACCTGAATAATTTATAGTTCTCCATGAGATCTGCTTCCTCTTCCCTAAAATTTTAGGTGAGCATCTCCAAAGCTACAAATTGGCTTATGTCCCCAAATTTAAGCTCTTTTGATACCATACAGCATCTAATAAAAATTATAAGAGGCCTTTGTTTTGGACTAAGCTCCTGCACCAGGCCCTCCAATAGGCCAGACCAAAATGATCAAACTGAAACTTTAAGGAAACTGATAGCTCTCAAAATAGATCAGTTTTTCCCTGAAAACAGAAGATTATCCACTCTATCCCTAGTTAGCACTATAAGGAAATGAAACTTCAGCCTATCTTGTGGCTTTCTTAGGCATACAAATTGTTGGCCTATCTTACCCCTTGGCACCAGGAACCTGAAATAAGCTCAAAATGCTACCAAGATGTCATTGGACTTTCTGTTTTATGAACATTCTTATTGCCAAAATACATTCCTCCTTTATCTCCCATCAGTCATGTATATTAGTTATAACCTTGAAAATGTTTCGGTTACAATAATGTACCAGATTCACTGTCGCCACACTTTACTTAAGGTTAAATTGGTCTGCCCATAGTCTAGTGGTTCAAGGGTGCCAGATCCCACATGGCCAATGGTGGTCTGAATTCTGATCTGGTGGCTTGAAAAACATACCAGGTACATGAATTGTGTGCCCCAAATAGGATGGAAAGATAGAGGAGAAGGAATTGCAGCTTGACCATGCCCCATTGGGGTGCTTTCCCCTCAGTTTCTCTCTGTCTCTCTTCAGAAAATACACATACCATCTGGTAATACAAAAAAATAGAAAAAGGAAGTGACTCCAGGTAACCATGAGATCATCCTGCTAAACAAGAATCCTTGCTATAACTTTTCACCAATGTAAAATTTTGACAATTATGTATTCTCCCCTCCTACTCGTGACTTGTACCTTTTAATTATCCAGGAATCTGTAAGATCTCAGTGCACATTATCCAGGGCCATTTGGATAGTGTAGCACCCAGACAATCATTCTCAACCCTGACTCAAATAGACTCTTCCTTTACTCACTTTGCCTCAGCATTCCTCTTAGGTCCACAAGAGCCAAGATAGACCTGGGAGATGAGTGGTGAGGGATACAAATTCAAAAATTCCTATAGTCAGCACGATTACATTCTGACCAGCAGAAAGTATAGGATGCGTCTTTATCTATTTTTTGCCTCCGTTTCTACCTCTGTTAAATGAGATCACTCAGAATATTTACTTTGCAAGCTAAATAACGCGATTGAATGTATAAAAGAACTTGAAATTAAAAAAAAATCCAGTACCCCCCCAAAAAAAATCTGGTGAGGATGAGAATTAGTTTAGCACATGCTTATTCAATTAACATTCATCGTCTACACCAGTGGTTCTCAAAGTGTCATGGCTGGCCCAGCAGCGTCAGCATCACCTGGGAATCAATGCAAATTCCAGCAAATTAAAAATGTAAAACCCAGGCTTATGCAAGAGCTATTAAATTCAAAACTCTTGGGGAGTGAGGGTTTAGTAATCTGTTGTTTAATAAGCCTCCCAGGTAGTTCTTATGCACCTGAAACTTGAAGAACTCTTGATCTAAGGGATAGGTTTTCAACTTTTGGTAAGAATAAAAGCACTTTGGTGTGGGGGGAGCTGGCAAGTTGCATGGTTGTTGGGGCAGTGGACTCCCACATGGTCAACCCCCACATGGTCGACCATGGTTCAAATCCTGAACCTGGTGACTTTCTTCCTTTCTCTCTCTCTCATCAAAATAAAAAATAATAATCATAAATTAAATAATTCTTTGAAAAAAAAAAAAAAGAATAAAAGTACCTTAGGATCAGGAAGTGGTGTGGTGGTTAAGGTGCTGGATTCCCACATGGATGACCATGATTTGAGTCCTGAACCTGGCAGTTTACTTTCTTGCTTTCCCTCTCTGGTGAGCATATATGCCCTATAACAAATAAAAATTTAACAAAATAAAAATACATTTAAAAAATAAAGATTAAAAGCACCTTTTAAATTAACATGCTTTTATTTTACTTTTCTTTATTCATGATAGAGCGTAGGTATACACACAGGTGAGTGAAAGAGAAAAAGAGAAATGAGGAGCCTCCACAGATCCTGGTGTCACTTTGATCCTCTTTTTCCAGCCCATTGTATCTTAGGCACGCATACACAAGTGCCTGGCATGTTTCAGGCTGATCCGGAGAGGATTTGAAGTGTAGTCACTACGCAGAATCTGGCTTCTCGTGTGCAGCACTTTCTGGCTGTGCCATGGAGTGAACAAGCACCCATAGAGTGCTTTTTTTTAGAAGGCATAGTCCTATCTCACTCCAGAGATTGATTCATTGACTCTTGAATCTGCAGTTGGGTAAATGCTACAGGTGATTCTAAGCAGGGATGCTTGGACTTCAAAGAAAAACATAGCGGTCACAAAATGACAGCAGGTAGGATGACACCTGGCCAGCAGATGAGTTTAATTTGTCTTACTGTTTTATTAAAATCTGATTTAATCATTAATGTGAAAAACATTATAATGTTACATAAAAATTACGATTTACAGCTTTTGAGAATTCAGAAACTTGGGCAACACCAGCTGTATTCTGGTGCCATCCACTATGGCTGAAATTGAGAAGTACCTTCCCGCTCTAGGAGGACTGCTCCATTTTCTCATTATTGTCTCCTGCCTGGCTATGCCTTCCAGGTTGTTTCCCTGGGCAGGAGACTGGGCCATCCTCACTCCTTTACTTTACTTATATTGCCACTAGAGGGCGAAATCAACAGCTGGTAGTTGGGCGTCCTTGGGACCACAAAAAGTTGGAAAACACGATTTCCTGCTGGCATTACAAACACAATTAATGCTCATAATCGACTCATTTTGAACAGTTTGCCATTTGAGGACAAATGGTGAAACTGTTCTCTCCACAGATACAGATGCAATTAAAGGCCCAGGAGAGACTTTCCAAGAGGAAACTGCATGTGTTTCCCTGACACCCGCAGTACCTGGTTTTATAAATGCTTGTTGAGTGAATTTTGAATAAAGCTCCAGGCACAATTTCTGGCATATAATAAGGGCTTATTAAGTGTTCGGTCCCTTCTTCTCTTTCCTTGTCAACAGTAATCTGGCTTGAACCTTAACCCTTTACAATGTATCTCTAAGAATTTCTACTAAAAAGGGTAAGATTTTTAGAAAGATATGACATAAAAAGGAAAAATAACATCTTTCTTACCTGTCTGATTAGCAAAGATGAGAAGGATTGTAAAAATCCAATGTTGACAAAGATGTATCATAATGGGCTCTGCTATGCACTATAGGAGAGAGAATATATATTGAGCAAACCTTTCTGGAGAACACTTTGGCGATATCTATCAAAATTTTAAATTTGCATACCTTTAGGAATTATTCTCAAGGAGATAATCAAACACGGGTGTTATATTAGGATAAACTAGATGCTGCTACAATTTTAAATAGTCCTTAAATTTCAGTAGATTAACCAAGATTCATTCCTACATTGTACTGCTTGCCCATAGCAGGTTATCAGAAAGACCTTGTTCCTTAGGGCCACTCAAGTGGCCCAGTCCACTTGAAAAAAATCAATTTTTTTTTTAAAGAATTATTTTGGGGTTGGCTGGTGGTGTGGTGGTTAAAAATGCTGGACTCCCACATGGCTGACTGCAATTCAAGTCTCAGACCTGGCAACTTGCTCTTTTTTCCTCTCTCTGTCTTTATTCTTCTTTCTTCCTTTTTATTATTATTATTATTATCATTATTATTTTAATTTGACCAGAGAGAGAGAGACAGGGAGGGAAAGTAAGAAAGAATGCCTCCAGACCCTGGACTTGAACCAGTCAACCATGTGGAAGTTCAGCCCCTCAACCACCATACCACCTGCCAGCCCCTGAGATTCTATCTTGATCCATGCTTCTATGATCAATAGGACAGAGGAGAATGTTGAGAATCAAGCACTGGTTTTTAACATTTTCAGCCAGAGTAGCTCACTTGACTAAGGAAATTGGCCAAAACAAGTAAGAAGGTTATGGCTAATTCAAAATATGGAAAAGTACAATCCTGTTATATACCAGGGAAGAGAACTTGAGTACTTGAGAATTGCCTTTATGACCTCTGGGAAATCAGATGTACATACAGTGTATCTGGTACAGTTGCTCTCTGATTCAGGTCACAGAAACCCAACTGCAGTGGCTTAAAAAATAGTAATTTGGGGCCAGCAAGTGGCATAGTAGTTACTGTGCTGGACTCCCACATGGCCGACATTGGTTCAGGTCCCCAACCTGGTGGCTTGAAAATCAGGCTCATGTGTGGGCATGTCCAAGATCCCAGAAAGAGAATGGAGGAGAAGGGTTCATTAGTGGATAATCCCCCTAGGGAGGGTGGGTTCTCACTTTCCCTCTCACTGTCTCTCTCCAGTGAGTATATGTGCCCTATGGCAAAAACCTTTAAAAAAGAAAATAGTAATTTAGGGTCGGCCCATGGTCTCATGGTTAAGGTGGCTGGCTCCCACATAGCTGAAAACAGAGTTTGAGTCTTAGATACAACAGCTTGAAAAACACACTTGGTGTGTATACATATAGGGAGTGACTAGATGTAGGCAAAAACTAGTGATGTGGTTTTAAAGCAGATGTGGTTTTAGTGCTGATGTTGCAGGGCAAGTGAAAGCTCTAATAAAGACATGATCTGCACTACAGGGTAATATAGATTGAAAGAAGGTGTTGTCAGCCAGAGAAGGCCAGGGGAGACTTGTTTCAAACTGTGAGACGCAAGAAACTCCACGGCTGCAGTCAATAATAGAAAATACCTGGCTTGGGGCCAGCAGGTGGCATGGTGGTTGAGGTGCTGGATACTCCCACATGGTTGACCATGGTTCAAGTCCCAGCCCTGATAGCTTGCTTTCTCACGTTCCCTCTCTCTCTCTCTGATCAAATTTAAATAAATGAATGAATAAATAAAAATTAAATCTTTTAAAATTATTTTAACTTTCTTTCTTTCTTTCTTTCTTTCTTTCTTTCTTTCTTTCTTTCTTTCTTTTAATTTGACCAGAGAGGGACAGAGAGAGAGAGAGAGAAGTAAGCTGCAAGGTCCAGGACTCAAACCACCGGCAGCCACGTGGGAGTCCAGCACCCTTAACCACCATACCACCTGCTGGCCCCAAAATTAAATCTTAAAAAAAAGAGAAAATACCTGACTTTGCTGTACAAAAGAATAAACCTGAGAACAACTCAGTGCTGTGGCATTCTCCATCAGAGACAGCTGGCCACTCGATCCCCATTTTTCTCACCTTGTGTGTCTTTGTCTTTTCTAAATCCACCACTGCTCCCACTCGGGGTTCATACCTTTGCTTCGTTGGGCTGGGGCATATACGTGCATGCCCAAAATACTGAAAGGAGGGAGAAACGGAGGAGAAGGAATTGCAGCATAATCATATCCCATGGTAGGTACTTTCTCATTTTTCCTCTCTCTCTCTCTGTCTGTCTCCAGTGAGCATGTGTGCCTTTTGCAAATTAAAAAAAAAAAGTAATTTATTTTTCTCACGCATGAGTCAATCTAGACTGACTCTAAGCAGTTCAAGACTAGAACTGTTCTAGGAAGCCATCAAGAACCTAGGCCCCTCCTGGCTTTTCCCTCATCATACATAGCTCATGGCTTTCATCCTATTGGTTTCAATATGGCTGTTCTATGTCCAGCCATCACATCTGAACTTCAGGGGAAGGGAAGGAGGAAAGACAGTGACTTCCTGGAAGATTTATCCTGTAGTCTTCTACTTAAATCATTCAAGATTAGGTTCCTGCCACCTACACTGCAGGAGAGTTTGGAAAGGTGGTGTTTTGTTTCGTTTTCCAAACTGGTGACTTCTGAACAAAATGAAAGTTATATATAATACTGGCAAATTAGAAAAACAAACATAAGTCTTCAGAAATTTTTTCTTAAGATATATCATATGTGCAGTAAGTTTTCATATCTAAACTTTATAGCTTGATAAATTTTTACACATATATACACCTGTGTAGTGACTGCGTAAATCAAGATAAAGAACATTTCTAGCACTCTGAGTCTCTCATACGCCCCTTTCCAAATAAAATTCCCCCACAAAGGTAGCCACTCTTACTTTGATCTGTTTTTAAATTTCGAACTTCATATAGATAGATTTGAACAATATATAAGAGGGCTCTTCAAAAAGTTCACGAAAATGCATATTTAGAAAGAACTATGCAGGGATTTCAGAAAACTGCACCAAGATAAACTCATACTTCAATTCCACTTTTCCGTGAAACTCCTGAATTCCCCTTGTACTGTGACTTCTTTTCCTCAACCTAATATTTGTGTGTGTGTTTTTTTTTTCTTCGCCAGAGAGTGCATGTGTTTGCCAGAGAGAAGGAGAAAAAGCACGCCCCCACCACCCACAGGGCAAGGTCATGCCACAGTCTTTTCTCCTCAATTTCTTCTTCCTGTCAGAATTTTTTTTTTTTCTGAGAGGTTTTTGCTATAGGGCATGTGTGCTCGCCAGACAGACAGAGAGAAACAGAGAGACAGAAAGCAAGAAATCAGCCCCCAGGGGAGATGGCCACGCTGCAATCCCTTCTCAGTTCTCCTCTCGGGATCTTGGGCACGCACACATATGCGCCTGGCGTGAGTTTTAAGTCACCGGGTCCGGGATGTGAACCGCGGTTGATTATATGGGAGTCCAGCGACATAGCCATTAAAGCTAACTGCTGGTCCCTCCTATCAGAATTTTTGACACATGTAACTCAGTGTGTTTCGAATCACTGTACCTGGGATTCAAACCACAATGGGCAAGGTGGGATCCTGTTCTCAAAGCACAATGCTTAATCATTGCTTTACAGGGCTGGCCCTATTTGTTGTTTTTGATTTATAAACTATGATATACATAGAATAATAGCAATCATTGAAAATGATAAAGTAGAACCATATTGTTTGGCACGAAAAGATGTTCTTGATGAAGTACTAGAGTTTCTAAAAAGGATACAAGAGACTGTTTTATATACATGAACATTCTATATTTAAATCTTATACAAATTGTATATTAACATTTTGTATATTCATAGCAAAAAGTTAAAATATTTACTAATATGTTACAGTTATTTCTAAGTATGAGGATTAATGTCTTTTTTTTTTTGAGAGAAAGATTTTTGCTATGGGATGTGTGCGCTTGCAAGAGAGACAGAGAGATGGAAAGTGGCCACTCTGCGAGGATGGCCACACTGCAGTCTCTTCTCCTCCATTCTCCTTTCAGGATCTTGGGCACACATGTACATGTGCCTGGCATAAGTTTTAAGCTGCCAGGTCTGGGACTTGAACCATGGTTGACTACATGGGAGTTAAGTGATGTAACCATTATGCCATCTTTGATTCTAGAGTATTAATGTAGTCTTAACTTTCTATATATTGTTTGGTTTGAATATTTTTTTCACTTTTAAATTTGAAATAATTTTAGCTTTATAAAAAAATTATGGGGCCAGCAGGTGGCATGGTGGTTAAGGTGCTGGACACTCCCACATGGCTTACCACGGTTCAAGTCCTGGATCTGGTAGCTTGCTTTCTCATTTCCCCTCTTTCTATCTCTGTCAAATTAAAAATAATGAATGAATAAATGAAATTTAATAAATAATTTTTTAAATTGTAAGAATAGTTCAAAGAACTACTGGATAACTTTCACTCAGCTTCACCAATTGTTAACATTTTGCTAAATTTGCTTAAAATTTTTTTTTAAATTCAGGTTCATTCATTTACTCATTTATCCCATATGTATAAGTGATTATTCTCTAAGATCAGAAATTAACCACAGAATAATTGGAATCAGGGCATTTTAATATTGATATATAATGATATACAGTACATAATCAATTTCACCAACTGTCCAAATAATACCCTCTATGGTGATCTTTACCTCAGCGCCAGCATTGTATTTAGTTGTTAAGCCTCTTTAGTTATTTGAATTCTTGTAATTAGATAACATTTTTATTAAAAAAATAAAATCCTAGGACCATTTGTATTAAGCAAATAAACAAAATAGGGTAAGATGCAGTACAGAGAGTTTATCTTCAAACCTTGGCCTGCCTACAGTTAACTCTTTCATTTGTGTCTGTGTCCCTTGCCATGTCCAGGGCAGCTGTGAGATCCTAAGGCTGATAAACCTTGGGACCTCCCCTTCCTACTATAAGTGGATCTGGCAGCATCTGGAACTACTAGAGGACAGGCCTCTGAAGTCCAGCCTACATGGTAAGCCACATCTGGCAGCCGGCAACCCAGCAAGGGGGCGCCTGGGCCATCCTGTTTCCAGTTCCCAGTCCAAGAACCTTAGAAACAAGGGTCTGACAGGATGTCCGGTTTGATCCCTTCTACCAGCTGTGAAAATCTGGTCCCTAGGCCCTACCCTCTTTTCGGTCTTCTCTTGAGACCTTTTTCCTCTTACTCTTAGGGTTCTCCCATGTGGCTGTCTGCTCGCTCCCGCCTCACATGTCCCTATCTCCTATTTTTAGCCTCTCTTCTTTTTAGATCTCAGACTAAACATCCCTTCCTTGAAGAAATCTTCCTGATTTCTCAGGCTGGATCAGCACCTTCCATCTCCCATTATATCCCATTCAACTACCATGTATTTCTCTTCTCTGGTATTTAACTTCACTGAAATAAAATAATTGAATCTGAAATGGTTATTAAATATCTGTCTCTCTTGCTAGAATATAAACTTTATAAGGGCTTTGTATTTCTGGGGCCTAATACCACATCTGGCATCTAACAGGTACTTAGAAGGTAATCATAGAATGAATGGCTAAATATATCTTAGCTGCTGTGAATGTGTGTACACACTCTCCAGAACCTTATCCAAACCCATGTATCTTGCAATAAGTATGAATAACAGTTATCATTCATTGAATTCTTTTTTTTTTTTGAGAGGTTTTTGCTATAGGGCACGTGCGCTCGCCAGACAGACAGAGAGAGACAGAGAGATAGAAAGCGAGAAATCACCCCCCAGGGGAGATGGCCATGCTGCAATCCCTTCTCCTCCATTCTCCTCTCGGGATTTGGGCACGCATGCACACGTGCCCGGCATGAGTTTAAGCCACCGGGTCCGGGACTTGAACCGTGGTCAACTACATGGGAGTCCCGTGACATAGCCATTACACTAACTGCTGGTCCCTCATTCATTGAATTCTTTTTTTTTTTTAATAATTATTTATTTTATTTATTCATTCATTTATTTTTTAGTTTGAGCAGAGAGAGACAGAGGATGAGAATGAGAGAGAGAGGAAGTGAGAAAGCAAGCCACCAGATTCGGGACTTGAACCCTGGTCAGCCATGTGGGAGTGTCCAGCACCTTAACCACCACACCATCTGCTGGTCCCAACTCATTCATTGAATTCTGATCATAGGCCAAGTGTTGAGCTGGGCTGTTTGTGCACTGTGTATAATTTTCATAGCAGTTCTTCAAAAAGGTATCTCTATTTTATGGATGCAGACACTGAGGCTCAGAGAGGTGAATCTCTTATCTAAGGGTCACAGGGGTAATAAATAGCTATGGCGGACTACAGAGTGGGGATTCTAACCTAGGTCCAACCAATTCCAAAGTTCTGACTTTCTTTTCTTCACAAACATCCAGCCGTCCTCATTCTCTCTAGCTCCTGTTTTGGACATAGATATTGTCAGATAACAGCCTCCAAAACTGGCCAGATGATAATCATTCTTTCTGATTCTAGGGCGGTGTTGTTTCCATTCACAACTCATTTATGACACATTCCTTTATTTTGTCCTTTCATTCTCCAAAAACCTACTTATCCATGTGAGTCAAAACCCCAGCCCTCAACAGACATTTGCAGTCTCATCTGAGGACTCAACTGGAAGGGATCCACGGCCAAGTTCACTCACATGGGTATTAGAAAACCTTTGTTCCTGGCCTTATGGGTGTCTCCACAGGGCTGTTTCAGGACATGGTAGCTTGCTTTCACAAGAATAAGAGAGAACAACAGAATGTGTGTCCATGATGAAAGTCACAGTCTTTTGGGAACCTAAACCTCAGAAATAACTTTCCATCTCTCTCTGCTGTATTTTATTTGTTGGAAGTGAGCCCAGCACACATTAATGGGCAGGCATTACTTTGGAGTTCTCTCTTTGCACAGTGCTGTCTTTTCTGCTCTGAACTCCTTGCTCTTCCCTGACTCTGTTCTATCTTGTCAATTCAGGGAAATTGCTGGGCTCTGTGGGTTCCTCCTCTTTACACCATGACTAGAAAAATCTCTAGGCAGTAAACGATAGTAGAGCTTACTTTGTTTTCTTTCTTACAAGGGTGATTATCCTTCATTACTTGATGTCAGTGTCTTTAAGACCATTTTTCCACACACACGTTTTGTTCAGTATTTTATTACTTTCAGATGGGAGAGAAAATTCAGAGCCGGTTATTCCATCTTAGATAGAAGTAGAAGTTTATTTATTTATATTTTTTAGAGAGATTTTTGCTATAGGGACGTGTGTTCACCGGAAAGATAGAGAAAAACAAATCAAGAAATCATCTCCCTGGAGAATGGCCACATTATAATCCCTTCTCCTCCATTTTCCCCTCAGGATCTTGGGCACACATGCACATACACCCAGCATGAGTTTTAGCTTTCAGATCTGGGACTTGAACTGCGGTTGACTACATGGTAGTCTAGCAATGTAACCATTATGCCATCTGCTGGTCCCTACATCTGTGTTTTTTAATAGCTAAGTTTTATTCTATTATATGAATATACCATAATTAAACTAATAACCTTTTATAGACATTTTTAGTTATTGTATTTTACAATTTTACACTATATAATTTTTCACTCTACCATAGTACATTTTTGAGTATGTTTATCTTTGCATCCTTGTGCAGGGAAGCATTATTGGACAAATTCTTAGAATTACCAGATGAAAGAATTAACACAGTACATACTGGCTTTAAAATACTGATAGACATTGCCAAAGTGTCTTTCAAAATGGTTATACTTTGGGCTTTTTACATATGGTCTATTAAGCCAGGCTTACTCCTTGTGGAGTTTGGAGGGAGAAAAAGCTTCCAATGGGCCATGGTCATTCCACAGTCCCTTCTCCATTTCTCTTTTCTGTTGAGGTTTTAGTCATGCATGCCACATGCCCAGCTTATTTTTCAAGCTTTCAGGGCCAGGATTCTAGTTGTGGTTGGCCATGTGTGATCCATCTCACCTTAACCACTAGGCTACAAGGACAGACCCTAGAAGTCTTTTTATTTTTTTCTAGATTTTTTTTTTTTTTTTGCCATAGGGCACATGCACTCAATAGAGACAGCGAGTGAGAGGGTAGTAAAAAAATCATCTGCTGGGGAGATGGTCATACTATATAGTCTCTTCTCCGGTCTCTTCTCGGGATTTTGGGCACATACACATTGCACCAAGCATATTTTTCAAGCCACTGGATCCAGGACTCAAACCATAGAGCTGGCCATGTGGGATTCAGTACCTTAACCATCATGGCACCTGCTGGCCTAAGGTCTCTTTTCTTTTAGGAGTATTTATTTAATTTTATTTATCTATTATTATTTTTAAAAATTTGTTAAAGGGTACATGTACTTCCAAGCTTCTCACCTCCGTAATGAGCATCTTACAACTTCTGAGTTGTTTTTTGTTCTGATGCGTATTCTTTGCAATAATCCAGTCCTTGAAATTCTTTTTTTTAATAATTGCTTATTATTTAATTCCATTTGTTATTAATACTATTTTTAATTTTGACCAGACAGAGACAGAAAGAGGGAGAGAAAGGGAAGAAAAAGAGAGATAAAGAGAGAAAAAGAGAATGAGAAAGTAAGCTGCCAGTTCTGGGACTCAAACCACGGCCAGTCATGTGGGAGACCAGTGCCTTAAGCACCACACTACCTGCTGGCCCCCTAGAGATCTCTTTTCTTAATCAACATTATTGAAATATTTTTATACCATAAAATGCATACATTTTACATTTGTAAATCGACAAACTTATACTTCTGTATAACCACCACAGTCAAATTATGGAACATTTACATCACCCCAAAGAGCTTCCTTTTGCCCTTGCCCAGTCAATGCCAGTGCCCTTCCCCCACCCCTCACCCATGGCTCTAGGAAACCACTGATCTGATTTCTATCACTATAGGTTAGATTTGTCTTATCTAGGTTATCACTAAATGGAATTATATAGTATGTATGAGTCTGGCTTCTTTCACTTTACATAGTGTTTTGGAGTAGTTTGTTCCTTTTTATTTCAGAGTAGTATTTCCTTTCAGATCTTTTTAGTAACTCTCATAGAGGGCCTATTATATCCTGGCACAGTGCTAGTCATATCACCTACTTTATCGTAATACTTAACAGCAGTCCTACAAGGGCTACAGGAGAGTATGTGACTGTCCAAAATTCTATGGCTAGTCATCCATTTATCTTTTTAAAAAATATTTATTTATTTTATACATTATTATTATTATTAAATTTTACCGGAAAGAGACAGAAAGAGAGGGAAAGGGAGAAAGCAAGCTGCCAGGTCTAGGACTCAAACCATGATCAGCCATGTAGGCGTCCAGTGCCTTAACTACCATGCCACTTACTGCCCCCAGTCCATTTCTTTCATTGCTGCCTCTTCCTCAATCTTCACGCAAACTTTGAAAGCTGAGATGAACATCTGTTAATGGAAATATATGAGCTATGAATCATATAGATCTCAGTCAAATCCAAGCTGCAACTCTTTTCTGCGTGACTTGAGCTCTCCACACTTATCTGGATGTCATGGATATAAAGATTCTAGAACAGGGCTCACAGCAGAAGAACATTACAGGAAGGCCACAGCATTTTGGTTTTCTTCTTAATTCTTCCATATACTGGACTCTCCAAGCTGGTTACTAAGATAAACTTTAAAATTTTTAAATTTTTTTTAAGAGATTTTCCCTATAGGGCGCATGCGTGCTTACTGGAGACACAGAGAAAAGAGAGAGAGAAAGTGGTAAATCATCCCCCATGGGGGATGGCCATGCAGTAATTCCTTCTCTCCATTCTCCTCTTGGGATTTTGGGCATGCATGTACATGTGGCCAGCATGAGTTTCAAGCTGTTGAGTCTGGGGCTCAAGCTGCAGTTGGCCATATGGGAGCTCTTTGCCTTAACCACTATGCCACCTGTAGGCCCCACTGTGATATACTTCTACTACCACAGCAGCCATGTATGCAAAGACCTATTAATGTGTTTTCCTGTGCTTTTCTCTAACAGAACCCTCTCCTATGGAGAGATTTAGGGAATTCCAAATCAGAACATACCCTCTACAGGACTTCAGCGCTTTGAAACTTGTACATCTCGGGAAAGCCTTGGAGCAACAGGGGACAAGCTTTGAGAGGACGGTCAAGACCTCAGAAAGCAGTCTCCCAAAGATGTTGGGCCCAAAGATCAAGTAAGCTCAGCTATAGGCAAATAGAAGTATCTGGATCGTGTTTGAAAAGGAGATATAATTTACATGGTGGGATGTCAGGGATGCTGGGGAGGAGGAGGAAGTGGCACAAGTCAACCTCAAAGAGATAGGTGTGTGCATGGGACCACTTTAGGCAGTCAACTACTTCATTTCTTGGGGCCCCAATAACCCACTTAAGGAAGAAGGGGTGGAACAGATCCAGGAATTGACAGAGCCAGGATAAAAACTCGGGCAGCCTTTTAACATTCAGTCTTGTTACCCAGTACAGCTGTCAACTGGTATGAAGCAGTTACACACTAATGGCTGCACTTGGCCCAAAAAGGATGAGAAACATAAAAGGACACTCAATGGGAGACCACATTTGAATCAACTCAATGTTGAACCCAGAACAGCATAACCCACTCCCCTCCCCTTATATGTGAAATTAAAATATAATGATACCAATAATGGCATCAATGCCACAGTCCTATGTTTTCCCAGGGCTATTTCACTAGAGTCCTTTTACCATTAACATTTCCAAGCTTCTCACCTCCGTAATGAGCATCTTACAACTTCTGAGTTGTTTTTTGTTGTGATGCCTATTCTTTGCAGTAATCCAGTCCTTGAAATTATTTTTTTAATAATTGCTTATTTATTTATTTAATTCCATTTGTTATTATTACTATATTTAATTTTGACCAGACAGAGACAGAAAGAGGGAGAGAAAGGGAAAGTGAGAAGCAAGCTGCCAGGTCCAGGACTTGAACTAAGATCAGCTATGTGGGAGTCCAGCACCCTTAACCACCAGGCCACCTGCAGGTCCCCAGTCCTTGAAATTCTAATCCCAGTTCTTCTGAAGACAAATGGAACAGACACAATTTGTCTTCTGTGAATCAGTAAGAGAAGGAATGGGTTGGGCTCAGGAGTGAAAAAATAAAGAACATTCTGGGCATATGCCCTTCAGGTACACATGTATGCCCTGACTGGATAAGAATTGAAACCTGTCTTATTTATGTGCTGGGTAAGCCCAGATATAGTTTCTTCCAGTAAATGATCTTTCTCCTACCCCTAATCCAAATAGCATAGTCTGTCTCTTCCCTCTACCTCGAAGAAGACCAAAGAAAGCACAACAGGATTGCCTGTGTAAAATTAACTCCAATATGAACAAAGTGCAGAGACTTCAGACAGTCCAGGGAGACACACAAACAAGCCATCTCTTCTCTACCTTCTTGTCAAGAAGAGCCCCAACTTCTGCTGTATTCCCCAAAGCTTACTCTTTGACAGAGCAATCTGTTCTATTTTCAGACAGTTCTAATTGTCATAAATTCCTTATGTGGTGCTTAAGCTGGCCAGCCTGGACTTCTCTTGTCTATCTTTTCTGACTTAACTTCATGGTACCATCAACTCCTTCCCCCATATAACACCTTTCAGGTGCTTAAAGAGACCATATTTCCTTCTTCTCCAGAGACTCCTCCTTATTACACTCTTTGATTCTTGACAATTGGAGTCAGTTTTTTCCAGGGCTTGATTTTGAGTTTTCTCACCTGGGTAGGTATGACTTATCCAGGGAAGAGAACTCTAAATATGCAGTAGAATGAAGGTTGATTATCCAGGCCTTCATGAGCTGGCTATAGTACAGACGAGTTCTCTTTAACAAGCTGTCAAATTTCAGGTCCAAGAATGTTAATTTTATCAACCGGTCCATGATCACTACCAAGTTTAGGGAGATCCCCAAGGAGGCTGCAGTAGGGACCTACATCAAAATCCACACTGTGGAGGAAGGTGAAATTTTGGTAAGTATGCAGAGAACTTTGTTCACAATATAAAGTGTCACATGTTTGGACTGCAAATGTTAATTAATGAAAGTAAAGAGGTAAAACATCCCTGTCAAGAATGCAGATGGTGTGGAAGTTAAGGAGCTGGATCTCACATAGCCAACTGTGTTTGGAGTCCTGGACTCAGAGGCTTGAAATCCACACTGGGTGTGAATGCATGCATGCCCTAAATCCCAAGAGGAGAATGGAGGAGAAGCAGTTGTGGTGTGGCCATCCCCATGAGAGCATGTTTTTTTACTTTCCCCCACCCACTCCCTCTGTCTCTGTCTCTCTCTGGTGAGCACATGTGTCTATTGAATTTTTAAGATGTGATAAGGGTATTGTGGCTAAATTATTTTTATTTTATTTTATTTTATATTATTTTATTTTGGGAGAGGTTTTTGCTACAGGGCGCATGCGCTCTCCAGAAAGGCAGAGAGAGACAGAGAGACAGAAAGCGAGAAATCCACCCCCCAGGGGGGATGGCCACGCCGCAATCCCTTCTCCTCCTTTCTCCTCTTAGGATCCTAGGCATGCACGCACATGTGCCCAGCATGAGTTTTAAGCCACTGGGTCTGGGACTCAAACTGTGGTCAACTGCATGGAAGTCCAGCGACGTAGCCATTACACTAACTGCTGGTCCCATGGCTAAATTTTTTTATCCTCGTATTGGGATATACATATCAAACTATTTATGGATGAAATTATATGAACCTGAGAATTTCTTTAAAATAAAGAAATTTTCCCACCACTCCTATTCAACACTATACTGAAAATCCTATCTAGTGCATTAAGACAAGAAAAGGAAATAATAGGTCTGCAGATTAGGAAGGAAGAAATAAAACTGGCTTTGTATACAGATGACATGATTGTCTATGTAGACAATTCCAAAGAATCAAAGAAAGTTTTGAATAAGAAAGTTCACTAGTAAGGAATTATAGCAAAGATGCAGGATACAAGGGTAATATATAAAAGTCAATTCCCTTCCTTATACCAGCAACGAACAATTGGTATTTAATGTTAGAAACACAATACCATTTATAATAGCATAAAAAAATGAAATAGTTGGGACCAGCAGTTAGCATAATGGCTATGTCGCTGGACTCCCACATAGTCGACCATGGTTTAAGTCTTGGATCTGGTGGCTTAAACTCATGCTAGGTGCGTGTGCATGTGTGCTCAAGATCCCTAGAGGAGAAAGAAGGAGAAGGGATTGCTGTATGGCCATCCCCCCTGGGGGGTGATTTCTCGCTTTCTGTCTCTGTCTCTGTCTTTCTGGCAAATGCACATGCTCCATAGCAAAAAAACTCTCAAAAAATAATTATAAATTTAATAAAATGTGTTATGGATCCATAGGCAGAAAAATACGTAACTGATGAAAGAAATCAAAGAGAATCTAAATAAAAGGAGAAATACTCTGTGTTCATGGATTGGACTCAATCTTGTTAAGATGTTAGTTTATCCCAACTTGATGTGTAGATTCAATGCAATCCCAATTATAATTCTAACAAGTTGTGAATACTGATGAATTAATTATAATTATTATATTAAAAGGTGAATGGATAAACAAACTGCAGCTTATCTATATAATGAAACATTATTCAGCAATGAAAATAAATGACCTGTCAAGCCTAGAAAAGACATGGAGGGGCCAGCCTGTGACCTGGAGGTTATGTGAGCTGGATCCTACATGGCTGATGATGCGGTTTGAGTCCCAGACCTGGCTGCTTGAGAAACATGCTGTGCACATGTGCATGTGTGTTCAAAATCCTGAAAAGAGGGAGAAATGGAGGGAATGGATTGCATTATGAAAAAACTGTACCCCACAGTTTTTGCCTTTCTATCTCCCCTCTCTGTCTGGCAAGCACATATGTCCTTTGGCAAATTAGAAAAAAAAGAAGACATGGAATAGCCTTAAATAAATATAGGTAAGTGAAAAGAATCCAGTATGAGAAAGCTAATATTTTATCACTTCAATTATATGGTGTTATTGAAAAGGTAAAACTACAGTAGAATGATCAGTGGTTTGCCAGAGCTTTAGAGTTCAGGCAATGGGATGAATAGGCAATATACAGGATCTTTAGGACAGTAAAATTATTCTGCATGATACCGTAGAGATGAATACAAAACATTAAGTTTTTTTTTTTTTGAGAAGTTTTCGCTATAGGGCGCATGCGCTCGCCAGACAGACAGAGAGAGACATAGAGACAGAAAGAGAGAAATCACCCCCAAGAGGGGATGGTCGTGCCGCAATCCCTTCTCCTCCATTCTCCTCTCGGGATCTTGGGCACATGCGCACACGCGCCCGGTGTGAGTTTTAAGCCACCGGGTCCGGGACGCGAACCGCAGAAAGTGAGAAATCACCACCCCAGGTGGATGGTCACGCCACAATCCCTTCTCCTCTGTTCTCCTCTCAGGATTGTGGGCATGCACATATACACACACACGTGCCTGTCATGAGTTTCAAGCCACCAGGTCTGGGGCTTGAACTATGGTCAGCCATGTGGGAGTCCAGCACCTTAACCACCATGCCACCTGCTGGTCCTGGGATTCTGTACTATCTTAATTTTTCTATAAATCTACGACTGTGCTAAAACACAGACTTAAAAACATTCACCCAATAGGAAAGGTGGTAGTATGAATGAACTGAGCTTGGCCATGACTTGGTCACTGCTGAAGCTGGGGCAGGTGCCACAGCTGAGTGGCAGGATGAACAGCTTGAAGGTGGTAGCAGAGAAGCTGACAGAAGGGCTTTCCAGCCATTGACAGTGAGCCTCAGCCCTGCTGGGGAAGTGCTGTCTTCCAAAGCCCACCGTGTGGGTTCCCTCTCCATGCTCTTTCCCCTGTATCACTGACAGTATCCTTAGGCCCCTTTTACCCTATGTTATGCTGGTTTGCTGGTTGTGACTGCACCAGCCATCCCCCCACACTCTCCCCAGCCCTCTACCTATGAGTCCTGAGAGCCAGGAAGGTCGGTGCAGTACTGTCTGGGAGCCTTGGTTCCCTAGCTTGGTTCTAGGTCAGTGTTGATTAAGTATTATGAAGCTCTCAGGAAGCTCTTCCTTTTGTTCAGTAAAACTCTTCTTCCTGAAACTTTAAGCTAGCTCTTCCCCTCTTTCTGCATCAGCCCCCAGGAGTGAAACAGAAGAATCAGCTTCCTAGCTATGTGATAGCCCTGTAGGCATTTAAAGAATGCTGTCTTGTTTTCATTCAGCATTTCTGCAGCCAGGCACAGTGCCAATGTTCTGTGAGTTATTTTCTTATTCAGGCATCCTCCATTCTCAGTCATTTTTTGTGTGACATAGTTTCCAGCCTTCTTCTGTCTGCTTCACTTCAGTTTGTTAGTGCTTTAGTGAGTGTTCAGAATGGAATGCCGGGATCCTTGGTGGAGATGCTGGGGACCCTGAGGCATCCTGGGCAGAATCGAGGCCTGTAGTGCAGCAGAGGCATTGCTTACTTTGGCTGGTGGTGACAGGAAGGTGGGGGGAGGCTGTTTAAGGAACAGGAGTGACAGGGTCTGTATTGCAGAGAACCTGAGATGCTGGCATGAGGAGTTTGGCCTTGATTCTCCAGGAAGTCCTGGAAGGCTTAGAGTGGGGGCTGGATGCAAAGACCTGCTGCCCCTTTACCACACAGGCCCAGCACATGGAATGCACTCAACAAGTATCTGTCAAAATAACCCCTCTGAAAAAAATGTCTGTGGATGTTTCCATGAGGTGCTTTGGTAAGACTCTGTCTTTCTGCATCCGAGGCCCTGGCTTCAATTGTAGGAGAAGTGGATGACAGCTATGACTATTCACCTACCACAAGGTAGGAGATCACATTTTCCTTACCCTTGGGGGCAGAAGTGTGGAGCTGGGTGAGCCCTGGAAACAGGAGGGGGTGGGCCCTGAGTAGAGAGACCTGATTTTGAATCTGAGGGAGTAGGGAGCCACCTTCTCTAGGCTGAGGCCTCAGAAGTGGTTGAGACCAGGCAGACCAGAGCCATACCAGGGCAGGAGAAAGGTGACATATAAGAGGGATCTTATTATTGGGTTGTTGAAAAAGTCATGAGGTATCTTTCTATGTTTTTCTATGCAAAAAGCATCATGACTTATTCTGGCAACCTAATATTTTGCTTCTAATAGCTGGCTGTGTAGCCTTAGATAAATCACTTTACCTCTCTGAATCTGTGTCATCAGGAAATGAGGACACTCACCCAGGTGAGCTGCCCCTTCTAATGTGTGACTCCATCTACGTTCATTCAACAGACATTCTTTGAGCATCTACCTTGCTCCGAGCATGGCACAGCATGCCAGTGTGGGCAAGCAAACTGATGTAATTCCTGCCCTCATGGGGCTTATAGTCTAGCTGGAGGACAGACAATAAGCAGATAAACTGACAAATACCTAGAAAGTTGTTGTGTCCAGAACGGAATAGAAAGAGTTGGGAGGCAACTTTTTAAATCAGTCTAGGAGAGCTGCTCCAAGGAGGTGATGTACTGTGGAATGACCTAGGGGGAAGAGTGTTCCAGATAGAGGAATAGCAAGTTCGAAGTCTGAGGCAGGAAGGAGCTTGGCATGTTGGGGGACTGGAAGGAAGGTCAGGGTACTGGAACAGAATAAACAAGGCAGTGGCTGGCCTGAGGTCAGGCTGGAGAGCCTGACAAGGATAGGATGGCCCAGGCTTCGGAAGCTGCAATGAGGAGTCTGATTTTATCCTGGATGCTTTGGGAAGCTATTGGAAGAGTCTAGGCAGAGAAATGACCCGACTCTGGGTATGTCTGAGGGTGGATTAGACGTAAACAAGAGTACAAGCAGAACAGTGCTAGCCTGAACAGTTCTCTGGTTTTAAATCCTTGCACTGCCACTTTGTCCCATTACCTTTGACAAGTTACTTAACTTCTTTGTGCCTTAGTTTTCTCATTTTGTAGTGGCTAAGAGCATGGACTCGAGATAGACCACCTGGTTCAAATCCTAGCTTTTGTTTTGTTTTGTTTTGCTCTGTTTTAAAGTTTTCTCCTGCTGACTTTATTATTTATTTATTCTTTATGCCAGAGGGTATGTGTGTGTCAGAGAGAGACAAAGGAGGTGGGGAGGAGAGGAAATACCCCCCAAATGAGGCCTGGTTATGCCACAATCCTTTTTCTTTCGATTATCTATCGTGTTGGAATCCTGGGCAATGTGCATATGTGTCTGGTGTGTTTTTTATGTTCCTGAGGCCTGGATTTGAACCCTGGTCAGCCAAGTGGGGTCTGGTTTTATTGCTTCCCATACTCAGGGATATTGGAAAATGTTCTTAACGTTAGTGTTCTCACCTGTTTAAAAAGAAAAAAAAAAGTAACAATAGAAACCACTTCCTTGGGTGGTTGTGAGGGTTAAATGAGTTAATATGTACTAAAGCTACAAGAGGGCCTAGAACTTCTGAATGCTCAATTAATGTCAGCTGGTGCAGCTATTATTATCACCCTGATCATTGCTATGGTTACTGTAATTATAAGATACATGACTGTGGACAAGTGAATTTCCTTTTCTGAACCTTGTTTTCCACATCTGAGGATGATAATCCTTATATCCTAGGGCAGTTGTGAGGATTAAATTTGTATTTTCCTCCACACAGCGGGAGTTGGCTAAAGAGCCACATTCTGGTTTCCATGCAGTCTGGCATTGGTTAGAAGGGCCTTTGTGCCCACTATAATAATGAGTGAGGTGCTTCATGTCTCCCAGAGCTTCTTCATAAACCCCCTCTGATTTAGACTCTCAAGAGGTTCATAAGAAAAGTAGCAGGTTGGGCCAGTCCATGAGGTAATAGTTAAGGTGGCTGAATCCCATATGGCCAACTGTGTGATTTCAGTTCCAGGTCCAGCACTCTGAACAGACACTAGGCATGTGTTTGTGCATGCCCAGAATCCCCAGAAGAGAATGAAGGAGAAGGGATTATGGCATGGCCATTCCCTTGGGGAGTGATTTCTTACTTTATCATTTTCTGTCTCTTCCTCTCCCTCTCTTTCTGGTGAGTAACACACCCTATAGCAAACTTAAAAAGAGAAAAAGAAGATCCCCACTCCAGTCTTACCAAGGAGAGAAAAGGCAGTTTGCAGATGGCTGTACTTCATATTCTGGTGGTGGTGGTGGTGGTGGTGGTTGATGAATGAGATCCCACTTTATGTCTCCTTTCTAATTAAGACTCCTTTAGAGACATTTGGGGGCAGATATTTTCTCTTCCACTTCATAGGTGAGCAAATATGGACTAGAAAGGTATCATTTGCCAAAAGAACAAGTGAACATTTGGATCCACCTTCTAAAAGCGGGATTATTCTCAATCCCACACAAATTCCATAGAGCAGAAACCTCCCCTCCCATCCTTCTCATTGTCTGAGACTGAAGAGTAGGTACTGAATTGGAAATTCAGCAACAAGGGTTCTGATCTCAGCTTTGCCTATCCCAGGGTATCTCCTAAAAAGGAGCAAGAAGGTATGCTGTTGGTTTCTATTCCCTTCCAGAAATAACTGATGATAAAGCCAAATCAAGGACCAGCAGGTGGCATGGTGGTTAAGGTGTTGGACTCCCACATGGTTTGAATCCTAGACCTGTCGGCTTGCCTTCTCACTTTCTCTCTCTTTCTTTCTCTCTGGTGAGTTCATGTAAGCTATAATAAATACTATTCAGCCATTAAAAACAAACAAACAAACAAACAAAAAACAACAAAACCCTGGCTTTTGACAGAAAGTGGAAGAATATGGATTTATTTACTGCTGAGTGAAGCAAGCCAGGCTATGAAAGAGAGACACTGAATGTCCCCACTTAATATATACCGTGTCTGCACTCTATGACTGAAACTGATTGACTAAAGGATATAAAAACACAGTAAATGGATGTAAATACCAGATATAGTGTGTGTGAGAGAGTAGAGTATAAGGAAGGACATTTAGGAGAAAAATAGAGAGGCAAAGCATTAATGGGACAAAGAAATGTGGTATTATCTGTTGAAGACATTTTATAATTTTATCAACTGGACTACAGAGAAATGTTCACCTGTTGAAATATTCACTTCGTAAGCTAAATAATGTGATTGAATGTATAAAAGAAAACGAAATTTTAAAAATGTAAAAATAAAGTTAAAAAATAGTAATAATAAATAAAAATATTAAACAAAAAAGAAAGCCAAACCAAAAAACAGGAGAAACAACATGAGGTGCAGAGAAGGGGGCTGTGGCTGCCAAAATCTTTATGAATGGAGAAAAAATTGGAGCCTGCAGAAGGAGATGGAGTGGGCTAGCTAAAAAGGGAATGTCTAGAAGAAGACTGGCTGTTGGGTGTTTTTCTTTAAGTCCTAAGGAAGAGGAAACAGGTTTACTTGAAAAAGGGAGTAAAAAGGGTCAGCAGGTGACTTGGTAGTTAAAGCTCTGGACTCCTACCTGGTTAACTGCAGTTTGAATCCTGGACCTGGTAGCTTGAAAAATCATGATGGGTACATGTGCATGCAGGCCCAAAATTCTGAGAAGAGACTAGAAGATATGGGACTGTGGTGTGGCCACCCGCCCCCCTTAGGGGGGCGATTTTTCACTTTCCCTCTGTCTGTCTTTCTCATGTAAGTACATGCACACTATAAAAAAAAATTAAAAAAAATAAAGTTAAGATCAGGTATCAGGGAAAACTTGAGAACAATAATGTTTTTTCGCTGGAGCAGAGTTTGTGGAGGTAGGACAGTGACAAAGCACTTTAGGCTCTTCTAATTTCAAAAGTGAGAGGACTTTGGTATCATGTAGCAAAAGGAGCTGTGGGGAGCCAGCTCCATGGCCTAGAAATTAAGGCAGTCAGATCCTACATGGCTGACCATATGGTTCGAGTCCAGATCTGGCAGCTTAAGAAATACACTGTGTGTGTGTGTTTGTCCAAAATCCTGAAAGGAGGGAGAGATGAGAAGGGATTGTGTTATCACCACTTCCCATGGGTGTTCTTTCTCCTCTCCCATTCTCTCTGTGTCTCTGGTGAGTGTACATGTCCTCTAGCTAGGGGGAAAAAAAGGCAGTGTATGGCCCGGTTGCACTGCTAAGACTGTGCTCTGTAGGCTGGGTTCAATTCCTGGTCAGCCTAAAGGCCAGATGCAGTGACATGCATCTGTAACCTCAGCAACTCGAGGGGGGCTGATAAAAAAGAGAGCCAGGTGTGATGGCACATGCTTGTAGTCCCAGCCGAGAAGCTGGGGCAGGAGGATCGAGACATGGTGAAACTCTTTCTTTTTTTAAAATTACACAAGGCATGTGTGCTTGTCAGAGAGATAAAGTGATAGTGATAAAGACAGAGGGAAAGTACCCCACCTTGGAGAATGGCCACGCCGCAGTCTCTTCTCCATTTCTCCTAACTGTTGGGATTTCGGGCATGTGTGCACACATGCCCAGAGTGTGCCAGGTTGGGGACTCAAACCATGTGGTCAGCCAGGCAGATCTAGCTGCCTTAACCACTATACCATAGTTGGCTTTACTCTGGTTTGGAAAAAAAGGAGTTTTGGATTTCTCCTCCCTCTTACCTGCTCAGTGACTCTAAATAGGGTCACTTCCTTTTTGAGGCCTCAGTGTTCCCATTTAGAAAATCTGCTGATTGAACTGCCTTGTCTCTAAGGTCTAACTTTCTGTGACTTTTTCATTCTAGGGCATTCACCAGGCCATCCTCCCAGAGGACCAGCGTGACACCCGGGCCTTGATCCTCTTGAGCCTGGGAACTGAGGTGATACGGGTGAGGAAAGAAAAATTTTATGACTTGATTGACAACGAGATAAGAGGAAAGTTGTCAAGTTGTGAAATTCAGTATCCCAGGTTAGTGCTGAGAACATGCATACATCCCATCAGATCAAATAAGCAATTTTTCACCAGGTAAATTAGTAAAAGAATGGAAAAAATAGTAATATCTAATGCTGACTATGATGAAACAAAACTGGTAGTTGTTAAGACACTCTATATTGGTGCAATCCTTTTGATAATAATTTTAACATTATGAATTTTAGCATTATTTTAGGAACTACAACACTGTCCTTGCCCTTTGGCAGTGATCTACCTATGAATTTATCTTTATGTAGCCATGGGGAAAACTACATACATTAAGATTTTTATAGCAGTCATATTTATAATAGAAAAGCAACAACAATCCATATTTATCACACTAAGGGGATAGTTTTGAAAATTTGGTACATTTCCTTGATAGAACACTGTTTTTACTTAAAAATGGTACGTTTACCCCCATAACAGCAGGATAGAATGGGTGTTATAATGATACATGAAGAGGAAAGTTTAAATTGTACATAAAGTAATATATATAAATATGTATTTATTTATTTATAGTATATATATTTATACAAACACATGCATATATGCATATGCATTTATAAAACACATGAAAAAACATAGAAGGAAATAAGCTGATAATAGCTATGATATTGCTAAGTTTGTAATAGCCATTTTCTCTGGAAGATGGAACTAAAGGGAGCTTTCTAGTTATTTGTTACATATACCACTTGTGTTTGTTTTTTACAGTGAGTTTTCATTGTCTTTATTATGTATTTACTTATTTTTAATTGCTAGAGGGCATGTATGTTCACCAGAAAGAGACCACATGCACCCCCCCCAATGGGGTGTGATCATGCTGCAATCCCTTCTCCATTTCTCTATCCTGTCAGGATTTGGGACATGCACGCACATGTGCCCAACATGTTTTTCAAGCCATAGGGGAACTGCAGTTGGCCATGTAGCATCCAGCTTACTATATAAAACATCTATCCACTACACTACAGGGTTGGCCCAAAAATAACTGAATTTTTTTAAGTAAAAATTAATTTATTGTGGACTGGGCTAAAAGCTGTTTTTAATCTCACACCGCTATTACTAAAAAGTGTTGCAGCATGTATCCCATGTATGTATGTATAACATAAATAACATATTTTAAAAATTACTTGTTTATTGCCAGAGAGTATATGCACTCACTAGAGAGAGAGAGAGTATCCCATGATGGGTTGTGGTGATGCTACAACTCTTTTTCTTCCATTCTTCCTTCCTGTTGGGAATTTGGGCACATCTATGCATGTGTCTGTTGTGTTCTTTCTTTCTTTTTGTAAAAAAGTAATTATTTACTTAATTTTATTTATTTATTATTATTATTTTTTAATTTGACTAGAGAGACACACACAGAAAGTGAGAAAGCAAGCCACCAGGTCCAGGACTCAAACCATGGTTGGCCGTGTGGGAGTCTAGCACCTTAAGCACCTCACCACCTACAGTGGCTCCCCCTTTTTTTTTTTTTTCTAAAAGTTATTTAATTTTATTTATTAATTATTATTATTATTCAATTTGACCAGAGAGAGAGAGAAAGCAATCTGTCTGGGACTTGAACTGTGATTGGCCACGTGGGATTCCAGTACTCTAGCCACCACACCACCTGCCAATTTCTCCCCAATGTATTCTTAAGCTGCCAGAGCCAGGGTATGAACTGCAGGAAGCCATGTGGGACCTGGATCTTAATCACTACACTACAGGGTCAGCCCAACACATACATATTAATTGATTTTTATTTTATTTATTTATTTATTTATTTGGAGAGGTTTTTGCTATAGGGCGCGTGTACTCACTAGACAGAGACAGAGAGACAGAAAGCGACAAATTACCCCCCAGGGGGGATGGCCACGCCACAATCCCTTCTCCGTTCTCCTCTCGGGATCTTGGGCATGCATGCACACTTGCCTGGCGTGAGTTTTAAGCCACCGGGTCCAGGACGCGAACCACGGTCGACTATGTGGGAGTCCAGAGACATAGCCATTACACTAACTGCTGATCCCAATTGATTTTTATTTTAAAAAATTATATCCACATATTATTATATTAATGTATGCATTATAAATACAGAAAACTAAGTATTTTTAAATGACAAGACAAAGATAAATATAAATGAAACCCTACTATTTTGTTCATACACCCAGTGGCTTTTATATACCCCACTGGGTAACATGTCTTCTCATCACCTTGAGAGCCCCAGTATAGACTCCTATAGGAGTCTTACTGCTGGCCCCCCGTCTCATTCTCCTCTCTGTCAAATTCCTTTCTGTATACTGTGCTGTTATTAAAACCCCAAATTAGCCTAATATTAAACTTCTGCTTAAAAGCTTTCAGTGAGGGGAGTCGGCAGGTGGTGTGGTGGTTAAGAGCACTAGACTCTCACTTGGCCGAGCATGGTTCAAGAACTGGACCCAGCGTCTTGCTTTCTTGCTTTCCCTCTTGCTCTTTCCTTTTCTCTCTCTCTTTCTGTTCCTCTCTGGTCAAATTAAAATGAATATATCAACAAATAAATAAAGTTAAATAAAATAATAATAATAAAAAAGCTTTCAGTGAGGGCCAGCAGGTGATATGGGGGTTAGGGTACTGGACTCCCACATGGCTGACCATGGTCAAGTCCAGGGCCTGGTAGCTTGCTTTCTCACCCCCCCACCCCCACTTCTGGTCAAATTTTAAAATTAACAATAATAATTAAATATTGGGTTGTTACAAAAGTCATGATGTATTTTTTTGTTTTTCTTTTTTTTTTTTTTAGAGAGAGTTTTTGCTATAGAGTGCATGCACTCGCTGGAGAGACAGACAGAGATAGAGAGACAAGTGAGAAAGCACCCCCATCTGGGGGGATGGCCACACCCCAGTTCCATCTCCTCCATTCTCCTCTTTGGATTTTGGGTGCACATGCACATGTGCCCGGCATGAGTTTTAAGCTGCTGGGTCTGGGACTTGAACCGCGGTAGACTATGTGGAAGTCCAGTGACATAACTATTACACCATCTGCTGGTCCCTTTTCTATGTTTTTCTATGCAAAAGTGTGTCATGACTTTTCCAACAACCCAATAATTCTTTAAAAAAAAAAATCTTCCAGTGATAGCTCATTGCCTATAGGATATGAAACTCAGTGCCACCTAAAAATGGCCTTTTATAGTTTGATCTTCCCTCAAGAACCCAGCAGCACCTTCTGCCACGTCTAAACTGCTCCAGCAACCCAGGCTGTTTATCTGTTGTATTCTGCAGTTACCTGGCTTTTGCTAATGCTGGCCTTTGTGCATGAAATGCCATTTGCTAATCCTCTTTCTACTTTTTTTTTTTTCAAAGAATTATTTTTATTGAACTTTATTTTATTTACCTATTTATTTTAATTGGACCAGAAAGGGACAGAGTGAGAGAGAGAGAAAGAGAGAGGGGGAAAGTAAGAAGGCAAGCCACCTGGTCCGGGACTCAAACTGCAGTTGGTCACGTTGGAATTGAGTGCCCTTAACTACCACACCACCTGCCCTCCTCCATATACACTTTTTATGGTCAATTTCTGCTCTTCTTTAAGATTCCTCTTCTTCAGTAAACATTCCCTGGCTAACCCCAGGTTGGAACAAGAACCTTTTTCTGTACACTCATAAAACTATTCTCTACACAGTTGTCATTGACTGTACCATCTTGTACCAGCATAACCTTTTCCCTCCAGCTGATTAAGTGCCTCAGAAAGCCTGGGCTTGTGCTTTATCCACCTTTCACCTCTAGCTCCTATGCATAGTATGTGGTAGCCTTTCAATAAATGTTGAATGAGTGGGGACCAGCAGATGGCGTAATGGCTATGTCACTGGACTCCCATGTAGTTGACCGTGGTTCGAGTTCCGGACCCGGTGGCTTAAGCTCACGCTGGGAACGTGTACACGCATGCCCAAGATCCTGAGAGGAGAATGGAGGAGAAGGGATTGTGGCGTGGCCATCCCCCAGGGGGAGGTGATTTCTTGCTTTCTGTCTCTCTGTCTCTGTCTTTCTGCCAAGGGCACACACTCTATAGCAAAAACCTCTCCAAAAAAAAAAAAAAAAAGTTGAATGATTGGACCATATGCATTGCAGGAAGTTTGAAAATAGTAGGAGAGGCGCAAACCAAACTACTTGCATTCCTCTAATAATCCGTGTTAACATTCTGTGTACTTCCTACAATTTTTTTTTTCACAGCATGGGTATGTGCATTCATTATGGAGTTTTCAGAATAGAGTTCATACTGATTATACAACTTGGCATCCTCCTCTTTTTCTTTACTTGATGATATGCTCGGACATGGTTTTGCCAGCACAGATATAGGAAGCAGGTGATTCCAGTGGCAGAGAAAGAGAAGGTGTGAAGGCAGGCAGATCTGTAGGTTAATGCAGCTGTGTCCAGTAAGCACATAGAAGTTGATGTGAGATCTGTGTGATTTTGAACAAGTGATTACCCTCCTGTAGGCTTTGGACTCCAGTCAGCAAAACAAGAAAGTTGGACTAGATCAGTGTTTCCTAAGTATGGAGCACATCCACAGAAGGTTTACAAGGTGACTATAGGTGACACACAGATTGACATGTTTAGTTTTAATGGTTATATGTTTATTCTAGTGTAAATCGGGGTGAGGAGGGGAATTATTAGCTCACTAAACCCAGGATTTGACAGATAGTTTTGCTTAAGGTCAAACTAAAATAAATGTTTAAGTAGAAGAAACAGTAGATTTAAGAAAAATCATTAGTAAATTAAAGAATAGATAATATGTAGATCTGGCCAAGAACAGGGCATTTTTGTGAACAAAAACAAATCAAGAGACACTGGTGATTCCTTTCAGTTCAAAGATGCCACACTTCTCTGATCCCTGTGTATTACCAATATGAAAGAAGGTTATTTAGACCTACCTACTCAAAAAGTAATTTAAAGGGGGCCAGAAGGCAGTTTGGTGGTTAAGGCTTTGGATTTCTACATGACCAAATGCAGTTTGAGTCCTGGATCCAGAGGCTTGAAACACACTGAGT